AGGACTATCTAATCTCAAGGCTGAATGTAAAGCTATAGCAATGTAGAGCACATTCAGGGCATCTAGACAGAGTAGATCAAGAGAATTCAGAAACACAAACACACATACTAGATTTGGCAAAGCTGCAAAGCCAATACAATGGCAAAAGTTGTCTCTGCAGTCTTGACTCAGATTGTCCTCTATTCCAGTTGCAGGAATTTGGCCTAAAGATGAGCCTGCATCCTGTGCCACGAGTGCCTTGTTCTGAGCCGTAACACTATTTCCTACTGATGCAGACCTCAGAGGTAGCAATGGGGCCTCCTAAGCTTGGGTTCCTACCATGTGGGAGACCTGACGGAGTTCCAGGCTCCTAACCTGGCCCAGCTCAGACAATGGCAAACCTTTGAGGAGTTAGCAAATAAGAGTCTAAGCCTCTAAAAAAATTTTTTTTAAATTAACTCCAAGTGGGGCAGAGACTCAAAATAATGCTACTAGAAAATAAAGGAAAAAAGTCTGACTTTAGGTTAAGATAAATGTCTTAGATATGCCATTTAAACGCACGATCCATTAAAGAAAAATAAGTGGTACATAAGAGATTAACTACTGCTCTTCAAAAAAAAGTTGTGAGAACAAGATACAAGCAGTAGAAAGTATCTGTATACCATAACAGTCATGTTTTATACCCAGAATAATCTCAAAATTCAGTAAAATAAACTGTAGGGAAAAAGGTGAGTTGGCCCTCACACGGTGGCTCAGTGACTAAAAGCCTTGTACATGCTGGGATTCCATGTGAGCGCCAGCTTGTGTTCCATACGCTCCCCTTCCCATCCAGCTGCCTGCAGCGGAGGACTGCCCACAGCCTGGGGACACTGCATCCATGCAGGAGGCCTGGAAGAAGCTTGAAACTCCTGGCTCCTGACTTTGGATGGGCTCAGTGGCCCTTTGTGGCCATTTGCAGTGAACCAGCTGAGGGAAGATCTCTCTGTACGTCCTCCTCTCTATAAGTCTGACCTTCCAATAAAAATAAATACATCTTAAAAAATTAAATTCAAAAAGTTTAAAAATGTTTATCAAGAAACATTTCACAAAAAGTTGTCAAGTAACAGAAATGCAAATTAAGACAGTAAGATCATTTCATATCTACTAGACAGTAATCAGACAGTAACAGGCATTGGAAAGGATGTGGAGGAAGTAGAAATCTCATTCTACTTATGACAAAATAAATTGGTACAACCACTTAGGAAAACAGATCACACTTTGCTGAAAAGTTGACAATGCCCAGCCATTCCAAAAGGCACATCAACAAAAATGAAAAGTCCCAAACTAGGAACAACACAATGTCCACTATGAGTTGCCCAGACAACTCACTGCTTTATACTCAGCAATAGGGATACACAATATAGGTAAATCAATAAAATAATTATACTAAGTTACCAGTGAAGAGAAGATGTACATTGTGTAATATTATTTAAAATTTTAAAAAAACAAATTGATCTTTCAAAGAGACCTGATGTTTCTTGGGAGAAGGGATAATGAAATACATGCGTGACAGTATTTCTGAGTGATCAATACTTATGCAGATTGGAGTGGTGGTTTCACAATTAAACACATTAATTTCAAAATACTGTATACATGAACTATGTCAAGTTTATATCAAATTCTGTCTCAAAGCACTTTTTAAAAAAATGACAAGATGTTAAATTAGAACAGCTTTAGTACATTTTTGTAAATAAAGGTATTTATACATTACATAGTACATAACATTGTCATAAGAAAAATTCACACCATGATAAACATCTAATAAATTAAGAAGTATGAATTTAGGAGTATTTTTATTTTGAATTTTATTTAAACATGTTCATGTATGAGTATCACTTTCTTTTACAAATATATATATTCCTTAAATTTTAAAGAAAGTTTAATTACGTAGGCATAGATGATCCCAAGCAAAAATTCCCATTACCCTAGAAAATTATATAAGACTTTTTTCATTTTTAGAACAAAACTGGCTAGTAATAGTTATGACATCTTTCATTAACAATTTCTCCAACTACCAACACAGAAAAATGGCATACCAATACATCTCGTCTGGGCATGCCATTCAAGTCTCTTCCCATTTTTTTGCCATCTATTCATTTTGGATTTCCTTTTCCACCAAAAGTAGACAATTCAGACTTATATTACTTATTATTTTACAAGAGTCTTACACAATTCACACTTTTCCCAATTTACAGCAAAAATCTATTTAGACAGCAACCACAGCCACACCTTGAGGTCTGGAGTGATTTCTTATTTCAAATCCTAAAACTACCTCAACTAGCACAACACCACTGTCAAAACTGAGTAAGTCTATTCCAAAACACAGCCCATTACTCCTCAGTCTACATAATAAGCTCAAAAAATAAACACAAATACTATGAGTACGCAAGAGTATCTAGCTCACTAGAGAGGCCAGCAATTAAGCAAAGAAATCTAGAACTATCTCTACAAGCATTCTAAGAATTTATTCCACCATATACATTCAATTTAAAAATCCACAAGGGCTAGTAAACACCACTGGACTGAACACAGTCCTCTTGCCACTACTCACCTTTGGGAAGGGAGCAAGAACTGATAACAGGATTGGGAAATTAGAAGGATCATGCCTTAAGAGGGCAGACAGGTTAGCAAACGAAAAATAATATGAAGCATTTTTAAAAAGTGCAAGTTTAAGAAATAAGACATAGGCACCAGAAGCAAAGTTTAAAGGACAAGCAGTTTTTCTAGGGAGAAAGTAAGAAGGAAGGTTCTTAAAACTTCTCTATGGTTAAAGCTCCATCTTCCCTGAAGAAAAAAAACTCTTCTGACCCAAATAAATAAGCACCTAAATGTGTGGAGTTTCAAGGCTGAGGATACTGGTTTCTAATGAGACCTACTGCTGACAAAAAACATCTTCACAACATAAAATACAATGCTTGAAACCATTACTAAGCTACATAGTTAGGTCAAATCACTTAATACATTTCAAACCATTTTCACACCTCAAAAAACCTGCAGTACTTGTTATCTACCAGTCACACATGAAAAGCATTTTTAAATTCTATGAATACCATCCACATTTACTTCAAAGTGTTTTAAGCTGCAAGTTCTGGAAAAACTTATTTAATCATCTGATTTACAGTTTGTCTTCCTTAACCTAGCTTTGCAAATTAAATGTACACTTTACACTTTGTTTTATTAGTTTTGAAAGCTAACTGAAGCTTCCCATTAATTATATTAGTAGGTTTAACAATCCCCATTTTCTTATTAACTTGAAAGAATCTTTTCCTACCTTCACACCAACTGCAACCTCGGTGACAATTCTGTAAAAAAAATAAAAATAAATAAATAGTTACAACTTCTTGCTGGTGTTCTATCACTGCTTGACCCCAACTTTTTGGGGCAATTCATCAGTCATTAATCTTGAAGCAAACACAGATGGGGAGCCTACACAGATGGGGATACTTTTCTGCACCACAGTCAACCTGCTTCTCTAGAAACAACTTCCAAACAAAAAGATGAACTCCTCCAAACAAACCGTTTTATAAAAAAGTTTTCAAACATATGGGAAAGAACAAAAATCCTCAACACTCCAAATGCCATTCCTACAAAGCTCTTACAATTTAACACATAAACATGAATTTCAGGGTGAATGTTGCTATCAATTTCCCCGTTCACTTTCTCAGGCAATCCCAAGTTGCTTCGGACCTAGGGTTTGGTTGGAAAATAACGTCGAACATAACTTTCTAGGCCTGTAAGTACGATGTCTGTATCTACCAACTTGACCAACGTCTAACTCTGGACACCTAACCCAAAAGAATTTACTTCTGACTCTTCAGATGTGGTCTAGGAGCTGAATACATTAGTGAGATGAAACTGGTTTCGCATCCCCAGAGGGGCAGTACACTCAGGTGTGTGCATCGGGGCCCCAAGGAACGCCCCCTTCCAACAATACCTTAAATGCTGAGCTTGGGGCACCAGGGCACAGGCGCTCCCCCAGCGCCCTGGCCTCACCTCGCTCCGGCTCACCCAAGGGGCTCCGTTTTCTGGCTTTGGGGACTGGGTTTTTGTTTCAGAAACTGGCCCAAGTCTCTAGAGATGGCCCTGGGTTTGACTGTGGGCTCTGGCGTCTGCCATAGCTTGCTGGTTTTGGCCCATGTGACCGTCTCGTCGACCTCAAACACAAACGGGTTTTTTTTCCCCCCCAAGACTATTTAATTTACTGGAACATCGCAGCCTTGGTGTAAGGGGGCCCTAGGCCGCAAAGCAAAAGGCATTTTGTTCGGTCTCCCGCCTCCACTCCCAGACTCAAAAAGAAAACAAAGGACTCTGACATCTGCCCTCCCCCTCCGCCAGCGGCTCCCGCTCGGCTTTCCCCGGAGCTCCCGCCAGAGGCATCTCTCCCGGCCAGGGCGGGCCCGGCGAGGCCGCGGCTGGGAGGATGGCCGGGCTGCGGCTCGGGCGCCCCTCTCTCTCAGCCCGAAGGCCCACACGCCCTGGCCGCTGCCTGCCCGCCCCGCCGGCGCCAGCCCAGGGTTCGGGTCCCCGAGAACGGATCGAAATGGCTCCGAGGGGGAGGGGGTTGAGGACGGGCGAAACGTTCAGGGGTTCCCACCCCACTTCTCACGCCGCCCGGCCGGCGCCCGCTGGCCCGCCAGGGTCGTCCCCACCGCCATCACCCAGAGCCTCCCCCATCCTCCGAGCCCGCTTTCTTTCTTCTTTCCCCCTCCTCCCCACCCGCGACCGCAGCCCGCCCGGGGAAGCAAAGGGAGGGGTGTGTGCGATGGGGCGGGGGTTGGGTAACGGCAGCCCAGCCCTGGGAGGGGCCGCCGGAGGGTTTCTGCCCGACCCCGGAGCGGGCCCCAACGACGGCCCAACTCTTCTCTCACACACATCTCCTCACCGGCCCGGCTACATACCCGTCCATTGCCGAACCGGACAAAGCTTCGCTCCCAAGAACTGAGCCACGCAGCCAGCGAGCCACACAAGCGGCGAGAAAATGGCGGCCGGGACCCGACGGAAATTGCCGAAGGTGCCGGAGCGCACGGGGCAGCGCGCGGCAACGGCGGCGGCGGAAAGAGCCGAGCGCGCCGGCGCCCAGCAGCGGGGGGCGAGCGGCGGGGCGCGGGGACGAGGGGGAGTGGGCGCCTGCACCGCGGCCTCCTCCGCGCCGCCGCACGCCTGGCTCCCTCCGCCTGCAGCTCCGTGAGGGGAGCTGGGTCGCTGCAGCCGCAAAGCTCTGCGCCCCGGCTCCTGCAGCCGGGCTCTGTGGGTGGGGCTCCTCTATATGCCCCACCGGCTGCCCAGCCGTGCGTCTGGGCTGCAGTCCTGCCCCCATGCAGCCTCCAGTTTGCCCGCCAATCCCCAGTCCCAGATTGGCTACAGCTGAGGGAGCAACGGTGTGTAGCTTTCCTCCCCGGCCTCCAACGTTTCAACAACAATGTTTACCACACTGAACGACGAGGCTGCCGTTTGGTAAAAACATCACTTTCCAAAGGAAAAACAAACAAAACACACAGAAAACAAAAAATCCCTAAGTCCGGAAACAGGGACGTTTGCTTCCAAACCTATGGTACCATCTCAGGTGGAAGAAAATGAGTCTCACTTGGGTTGAATCGGGCGGTAAGTACTCACATGACCGGGGGTGGGGTGGGTATTAGGAGTTTGTACTAAAAACACTACCCATTAGGTTGTTGGAAAACCACCCCAAACTAGTTGGAGGTGGTGTGGTTGGACTGCGGGCTTGCTTCCCACTGAGCAGAGCCCATCTCTGACAGCAGTGGGGTGGAAATCGCAGAGCCGGGAGCTGAGCAGCTGTTGCTGACTCCGAGTTCCTCAGGGCTCCAGAAGTCAGCAATCGGCCAGGTCGACATTCCTCGTCGTTCACTGGTGCTTGGGAGCTTCTTTGGTTGATGGATTATGCTGTGGGCGTTCAGGACTTGATTACGACCAGGTGGGCTTCCATTGGTCCTTGAGTTCTGCTGAACAAACCTCTCAAGCCCCAATAGTGGCCCACAGGTTTTCTCTGTTGGGGAAGTCAATGACCTTTTGAGTCAAGTCACTAGTCAGGTAACTAGGGGCCAGCTGTGGAACTGTGGATTCAGTGAATTGCTTTCCACAAAGAGCAGGCAAGTACATCCTGGGCTACATGAGGTAGGTCAGGAAAGGCTGGGTGCTGATGCTCTTTCATCATAGCGGTTCCATTTCAGAAGCTGGGCTCTACAATTTGGGTATGTGGGAAGGAAATTAGATGCTCTAGCGTGGAAAAGAGTTGACTCTTAAACTCAAAGTCATAAGTGAATGGTACCAGGAGCAAACAATCCACCTGTGGTGTTTCACGTGTGAGCCTCGGATGGGCCCTTCTTGGGGATGCGCCGTGTGAGGGCAGTTCTCTCCCGGGTGGGTTGGAAAAGCTGTTGGGCCAGCTGCTCTCTCGGCTTCCTGGGGGGCCATGCGATCCTCTGTTCTTCCAGCCTTCACCATCGCCACTCTTCAGAGGTCAAGCAGGAGAGGCTACTTCGTCTTTTATTTTCACCTCCAAAACTGTGAGCTCAATAAACCTCTACTTTTTACGAAGTTCACTTCCTCGGCCTTTTTTCACTGTGGTGACCAAAGGGGTCTAACACAGTGGAGATGGAAATGAGGAAAAGATAAACTACCTTTACTAGCTGTTCTGTGGTCAATTTTAATAGCATAGTAGACGTTTGCTTTGCAGTATTCTTTTCTAAAGATTTATTTTTTTGAAAGGCAGAAATACAGAGAGGAAAAACCAGGCTGAGGTCTTCCATCCTCGGGTTCACTCCCTAACTGTTCAACAGAGCCGGGGCAGGGACTGGGCCTCGGTGAAGCCACAAGCAGGTGCTTCATTCAAATCTCTTACATGGGTAGCAGTGGCCTCCCTCCACAGCTTTCCACATGCATGTGTAGGAAGCTGAACGGAAGTACAGCAGCCAGGACACAAACCTTGCTGGGACGCAACACTGAGTCCATCAAGTTTTCTCTTGTGCTTTTGGGGTTTGTTTGCTTTTTTTTTTTTCTAAAGATTTTAATTTTTTATTGGAAAGGCAGATAAACAGAGAGGAACATCTGTGCAATGATTCACTCCTCAAGTGGCCATAACAACCAGTGCTATGCAGATCCAAAGCCAGAAGCCAAGAACTTCTTCTGGGTCTTCCACATGGGTGCAGGGTCCCAAGGCTTTGGGCGGTCCTCGACTGCTTTCTCACGCCACAAACAGGGAGCTGGATGGGAAGAGGGGCTGCTGGGATTAGAACTGGCTCCCATATGGGATCCTGCAGGGTTCAAGGTGAGGACCTTAGCTGCCAGGCCACCTCACCGGGTCTTTGTTTGCTTTTAAATCAGAAGCTCAAATAAGTTTGAAACGGCACTCACTTTTGGGAAATTTGCTTAGTGAGTGACTGCCTTGCTGGTACTCTGCCTTGACACCCCAACACACACGCTTCTTCCTGATTCTAACTGAAAACATATAGCCCCTACACCCGAATGCTTACTCCGAGGGTTCCCACTCCTCCCTCAGGCCTTCACTAATTGCAATTGCATTGTGCTATGTAGTAGTTCCTGCATAATTCTTGAAATATAATTATGTTTACATTGGACAGATCGTTAAAGAACATCTTTTCAAACACATTGTTATGGAACTCTCCAAAGACTCCAAGTGTTTAAATATTCTTGATTTGCCTCAGAGATGATCAACTCTTAAAAAACCAAATTTTGCAAAGTACTTTCCTATAGTGTTAGCCATTGACTTAAAATACACAAAGGACCTATTATGCCACTAGCAATCACTTTTCACATATTTGTGGTTTTAAGCATGCATTTTTACTCAATGACTAAATGTATAAGCCCTTGTAGGTCAGGAACTATAGCATTAAGTCTCTCTGTTTCCCATATTGGCACAGTAAATATTGATTGATTATTTCTGACTGTAGCTTGGGAAAAATGAACTGTTCAACGGGGGAGATGAGGAGCAAGTCTTTTGGAGGAAGAAAGTAGTATACACAAAACATATTGCTTTTCCTCATTCTAATACAAGACAACAAATAATAGACAATATGTAATAGGCAATATGTTTGCTTATTTAAGACAATGTTTTATAGAGAAAATTGAAGGCAGTTTATGAGTCAAGGCACCTTAAGTACTAGCTTTAAAAATAAAATGTAAGGGGCCTGGTGTGATAGCATACTGGTTAAAGTCCTCATCTTGCACACACTGGGAGTCCATATGGGCACCGGTTCTAATCCCGGCAGCCCCACTTCCCAGCCAGCTCCCTGCTTGTGGCCTGAGAAAGCAGTCGAGGCAGCCCAAAGCCTTGGGACCCTGCACCCGCATGGGAGACCAGGAGGAAAGCTCCTGGCTCCTGGCTTCACATTGGCTCAGTTCCAGCTGTTGCGGCTGCTTGGGGAGTAAACCATCAGATGAAAGATCTTTCTCTCTGTCTCTCCTCCTCTTTGTATATCTGCATTTCCAATAAAAATAAATAAATCTTTAACAAGAATAAAGTAAAACATAAGAAGAATTAAAGAGAATAAAATGTAAGAAGAATTAGAGAATAAAATGTAGTATTGATTATGAATGAGGCTATTTCAATATATAGTATGTGATAGTCTGCTCATATGTATGGTTTTACCTGCCATGGTTTCAGTTATGTGCAGTCATTCACGATGTGAAATATTGCATAGAATATCCCAGAAATAAGGCATCTGTAAGTTTTAAATTGTGCACTGCTCTAAGTAGCATGGTCAAACCTGTCCTACCCTCTCCTGCCTGGGCCTTGAATCATCCTCTTAGTCTAGAGCATCTTCACTGTGACCACTTCCTGACCAGTTAGTCACTTAGGAAAGCACTGGGTCACAAGAGCAGCTGTTGTATCACAATGCTTCTCTTCACTTAGACCTTTTTTGCCTGACAGTGGCCACAGACGACAAAAGTCTTGATGCTAGCAATTTGGGTATGCAAAGGAGAAGCTATACGATTCTTTAAATGAAAAGATTAAACTACAATTAACTCCTTTGAGCGATTTAATTCCAGTAACTTTTAGTACAACACTGTTGTAATGTTGTGTTATATTACTATTACTAGCTGTTGCCAATGATTACTGTATCTAATTTACAAGCTAAAGATTATTATAGGTGTGTATATGTATAGGACAAAAGCAAAATGCATGCCAGCTTTAGCACTGTCCATGATTTCACATGCCTTACGCATGAATGAAGAGGAACGCCTGAATATCACAAAAACAGATTAATTAAAGTCTAGATTCACATTTGAGCTCTGTGATGTTAAGAATGTTCATTAGCTTATCTAGCAAAAAGTTCATTTTACTGTTTAGGGGTTAGAAATAAGGCCTCCATCCTAGATGGTTTTAGGTCAGAATGCCTTTATGTATGTGAAACAGTTCCTTAGCTCAGTTACCAGCTACAGTAAATAATAAAGGTGGCTATCATCATTCTTATTTTTGTTATTACCAGCATTGATTTGAGAAAGAGTAGGCCACTTGGATTTTAAGAACCAATAATATTCACATAAATAAATCTGTATAGAGATTTTCATAAAGGTTAAACATGTCACTAAAGTAATTAGATTGGCTGGTATTGAGAAGAATAAATCTTGTGAAATGTCACAGATAAATTTCTGAAGTCCCATGCAAATCTAAATTTGTATGATTTTATGAGTTAACCATGAGGTAAAGTATTAATCTCAACATTAGCAGATGACCTACCTTTGTAATATATGACACGATAACATTAGTGTTTATGGATTCCTAACAAAATATGGCAATAAAATTGAAGTGCCTGTGCTGTATAATTTTCACCCATATCTTTTTTTTTCAGTAGAATGATTTGTGCTTTCCCATCTGAATGGTAAATCTTTTGACCTTTTACAGAAATTTACACTTATGTGAACAATGATTAAATTTAAAATTCAGTGTATACTGAGCCAAAATTAGATCTAATATTGATGCAATAAAAATAGAAAATAGACTCTTACAGAGTAATATTCTGATTTTATTCCTTGCCCCACTTATTTTCTTCCTATAATACCAATGAAAAGAGAGAATGATCATGGGATTAGTTAGAAAAATATATTTTTAAATAGGCGATATAAATTCAAAATACAAGAAAAATCAAAAGCTAGAAAAGCATATACAAAATATTCACATAAGTAAAAAAGTACATATAGAGTGAAGATAAGTGGTTACCTACTGGGACTGAAGGTAAGAATAGGGGAAAATACAATTCCCATCTTTCTAAACTAGATTGTGATGATGATGATACAACTCTATATATACTAAAATTAACTGAATTAAACACTTAGTACTAGCAGTGTTTTCCACACATACTTAATATATGTGTTTTTAAAAAACTGTGATGGTGTTCGGCCATGGGCTGGGGTGAAAGGAACCATCTGCAGCATGGCTGCTGTGGGGAGTGCCCAAGCCAGGCCAGACCCAATACTTGAGATTTAGGCCATGGTTATTGCTGCCACATGGTGAGCAAGTCTTAGGCTGTTGGGCAGCCAGTACACCCATTGGGAGCCAGGCTCTGCCTGCTGGCCGCCCGTGATGAACTCTTGGGTTTTTAGGATATGTAATTGCTGCCCTG